AAAGACTAAGCTTTAACTCGACGTTTTCGTGATACTGTACTGCGCAACCCATCTTCGACGGTTGAAAACAAACTCGCCGTTTTGCTCGCGGAGGTGTGTCGGAGGCTGGGATGCGACGGCCACTCAATGTGCACCGTTTGGATTCTCCTACTCCAACGACTCTGTGAACAGTATGCCGGAGCCCATCCTTGTTGAACGCAGTGCGGTGATTTACGCAGCTATATATTTTCTAGTTACGGTTGAATGTGAGCATCCCGAACTCCGCTGCCCTTGAGAACGCGAATGGCACGCCGGGCTGCAGGATCAGCTCCACGCATTGCAGTCCACCGAACAAATAAAAAGTACTAAGCAAGGAATTTGGTTTGCAACCTGCAAACCATCCCGACCTACGTAAAGGGCGCCCACAAAGAGAACGCAGCCTCGCGGCAAATACGGGCTAGGGTACCTTCACGGAAAGTTTCAGAATAGGGGGCCCCGATGCGCTCCCTAAAAGCGCAATCGACAATACTTGTAAAATAAACCGAAACACATCAAAAGGTTTTAGGGTCACCCTGTTAGCTTGGAGCGTCGCACTGAGTATATGCAGAACTTTTGTGCCGGCGACATGCGACGGCCAACGCCCCTCGGCTGACCCAAAGCTTTAGAGCCCCCTATTACAAACCACAGCCGGACTGGAATCGGGCTCTCGAGAAAGAGAGCGCGCGCTTCCAGTCCGGCCATGTACAAACCAAGGTTGTTTAGGGTGATGCCATTGCTTGTATTACACAGTTTCCACGACTCGCGCTCACAGAGAAATTACAGAGCAATAACAAGGAAAAGATTTCGCTTGAGAAGGGCTCTGAAAGAGAGCGCGCGTTTCCAGTCCGGCCGTGAGAAGGGTTACTGCCACGCTCGAGCTTTTTTATTCTCTCTAAAGGAAAAAAAAAAAAGAAACACAAAACGCGGCGAGTGAAATGGTCAGATTCACACGAAGGCAACAACTGCTCACTGTGCCGGCGTCGGTTTGTCTATACTCCGTTTCACCTTATGTTGTACCGCAGCAAAGGCTAGAAGCGCGAGCTCATAGCATTGGCGACTGCCTTAATGCACGAGAGCTTGTGCCGCCGAGATGTGCTCCAGAGCAAGGAGCTCGCGCTTGTAGCCTTTCCTGCGGTACATCATAAGGTGAAACACAGTATAGAGTTCAACATCAACATTTCTAGATCCCATCACTTACGGCCTCCGAGATTCAGGCAGCAAAGCTCTTTTCCAGCCCTTCCAAAACGCTTGTTTTCAAGGCAGCTGCTGATACAGAGCCGGTATCGTAATATCAAAAGTTAAATATGTGTGTATGTGCACGCTGTATAAGGCTCGTAATTTCGTTCGAAACAATTTTCCAAATTTTGCTAAAAATCACACCCACTTCCTAACGTTAACAACCCAATAAACTTGCCTCAGTTTGGTTTGTTCTAAGTTTTTTTTTTTTTTTTTTTTTTTTTTTTTTTTTTTTTACAGCTATGGCAGTTAGCAAATAATTTCGAGAATAAACCCTTTCCGAAATTCAGTCTGGCCACTTTGATCACTATCATCATTTGTGGAACGTTATCTGTGCCATACCAATGGCGGCCTTCTAGTTACTGATAAAGGAAGACGTTGAAGATGCTCCTAAGCGGATGAAGCGAGGCCTGTACATTCGGGGAGTCAGTACGACGCGACGTATGAATGGAACACAAGAGCAACCTAAGCGTTTATTTCTAATAACTCCGAATCAGTCAATCTATGGGCGGCACACAATCGGCTTTAAAGCACTTTGGTGTATAGAATTTTTTCGAGGCGTCTGAGTGGGTTGGACCTTTGTTCTGAACGCAGGTCTTGGTCACCATCGAACTGAAAGTGATCGAGAAAGAACTCACACTGAACATATCCTTGCGTGCCGTTCACTTCCGAAAGTGACGGTGCCATTACAAGTTCGTTTTCGCCATTGATATGGCAAACGTAAACTACTCTACGAACCACCAGATGGCACTGAATTTCGGAAAGGGTCAAAACAGAACAAGCGGTCACGTGGCCTCGAGCCTATCTTGTGCAGCCGACGTTATTCATAGCCACGCGCTGGGGTCGGCAAAGTAGAAAACGCGTACTGAGCTCCAAACAATGTTAGAGTTCGGCTAAAAAATGGAAAAAAATTGGGTTGTGTGTATGTTCATACAGCCTAGAACTTGGTTTGCATCAACGGGCGACGAGTTTCCCAGCTGTAGATGAGCAATTTAGCCAGTGCAGTACAACCGCTAGCCTGGGGTCTCTAACGTGCATCACGCAGTAGTGATACACGACCGCACGTCGGTACGATGCTCATCAAGATCAAAACGGGCAGGGGTGGAGATTGAATTCAGGATTCCTGGGTTTTGCAGCGCGAGCTTTCGCTCCACGTGCTCCGAGCTGGTGTGCGCTAGCACACTCGGCCACCGGACAGAAAGTGCGTCACTAACGCTGGCCATCTGGAATGCAGCAGACGCCGCCATCTTGTCCGCGCCTCTGGGGTAGTAAATAGCTAGTAAAACGGTAGTAACGGTCAGAAAACGGTGGCAACGGCTGAATTTACTAACTTTTTACCACCGATCGCGCATTTGAGGTATTAAATATTGAAAGGTAGTAGCGGTCAGGAAAAGGTAGTAACTGCTGCTGTTACTACAATTTTACTAGCTTTTACAGTGGAGCTGTTGAGGGCTAAGTTCCCCAGGATCGTGTCCACCTGCAAAAAAAAATGATGACACCGAACTGTTGACAGCTGCCACCATCTATGAGTGACGGCGGAAACCAGACAACTGGTTGCCTTCGCTCATAGACGGCGGCAACCTTTTTTCGCGGGAAGAAAGGCGCACATCTTCCTTCGAAGGTGTGCGCAGCAGCGCGAATGGTTCCGCAACCGCCGCAAGGCCGCTGTCGCCAGCAGTTCCACTAGGGAATCGTAGTAGACCGTTTTTCTCCTCCGCTACGGTATCCCTGAAGAAAAGGCCGCAGCTGCGCATGCGCGCCGCCAGCCTTCTCTGCGTAGTTCAAGGTCTTGTGGCGGATTACGGAGCGCTATCCGGGTGCTTAGCGGGCTGCGGAAACAGTCTACTACAATTCCCCACTGTGTCGAGCGCTTGAGATTCCCTTGCGAAAGAGCAGATCGCTCGCCTGGAAAGCCACCGCAGAGAACAGAAGCTACAGCTCCGCTGCTCTTCCTTCTTCACGACAATAGAAAAATTAATTTTGTTTTTCTAAGAGTGTATTTTTATTACCAGCGCTCGAAGAGTCAATTGCTCCTATCATGGAAGAATGGCAAATCTAAAAACAAATGTGTTTAAAAAAAATTGAAAGACGTTTACAACTTTCTGTAATGCCGAATTAGCATGGGAGAGTAATGCAGAATTAAATGGGAGGGGAGCAGGGAAGAGGAGCGGCGGGGATGAAGGGGGAGCAGAGGCATATATGCCTCTGCTCCCCCTCCATCCCCGTCCCTCCTCCTCTCCTGCTCCCATCACATTTAGTGGGAAATTTTTGCGAAATTTTCCTCTAGATTAAGCTTACATTTCCCGGCTAAAAATAGCGGGGAAACTTTCCCGCTAAATTTAGCGTGGTATTAGGGAGTTTTAGAATAGCGCACGCTAAAGCTTTGCGTACGCAAAGAATAGCGTCGTCGCCACTGCGCATGCTCCGAACGCAAACCAGGTTTTGCGCTTTGCGTGCGCAATTTTAGCGCGCGCTATTTCTCGCAAATAGCGTGCGTACGCAAAGAGTTTTTGCGCTTCTCCAAACAGGATTCGTGATGGGAAGTTGGCTAAAGCCAAGACGAGCACAGTTGAAAAAAATGGCGGCTTCGAGGATTATGTCGGCGGCTGCTTTGGCGGCGTCGTGAGTGCGACGTCGGCGGCATCCTCGCGACTGCAATTTTCAATACGGGACGACATTGCACTCGGTTTGGCAGCGATCACCGGCAACTTGATGCTTGCGACGCGCGAACATTTCACGGCGAAGGAACGATGTGCGAAGGTCAGTACACGAGACCTCTCTTGCCGAGGCGACGCAAGCGGACACGACCGGTCAACCGCTCGCGTCGTGTTCTCATGTTTAAACAAATTAAAATGCTACTCTAGACCAAAAAACTCGTTTTCTTTTAGAGTTACATCATTTCGTGTGTGAAATAAAAATTTGACTATCTTGGTGGCGTCGCAAGCGCGAGATGCTTAGGCTTTTGCGTCGCGGCGGAGAAACGCTATTCTAAAACTCCCCTGCGTCGCGTGCGCTAATACAAGCGCTAAATTTAGCGCTAGCGTGCGCTAAAATTGCGTACTTTATTCTAAAACTCCCTATTTACCAACATAATCCCACCAAATTTAGCGAGACATTTTGCGAAAATGTTCCGCTAAGTTTCGCGGGGAAACTGAATTAGTGTTGAGGTAACGTGATGTCAATTTCCCACTAAATCTAGCGGGAACATTTTTCCATTAAATTTATCGAAAAAATGTTTCTGCTTAATTTTCCGCTAAATTCACATGACGTCAAGAGAGTAATATTTTCCCGCTAAATTTCACGGGAAATATTTCGCAAAATTTAGCTGACAAATTTCACCGCCAAATTTTGTGGAAACACGTCCCGCCAAATTTAGCCAAAAACTTTCCCGCCATACTTAGTGGGGAACTTTTATCCTTGTGACGTCATTGTGGGAAACGACCTTTAATGCAACGCGCCGACGCCGCTCAACCCGGAAACGGGCGCCTAAGAGCTGCGCTCTAAAAAACGTTTTGGAGCAGGCTGTTTCGTATTCCACTTTCAAAATATTCTCCCACTGAATAATACATATCCAGGTAAAAACGTGTTTGGGATTATTCACCCACCTCTCTTTGTAGCTCGAAGTGATTGCATGGTCACCTTAATGTCCAGCGGAAACGTAGACAAACCGGCTTTCTTCGGAGTGTGTAATGTGTACTTGAGTTTAGACGTTGCCTTATTCAACAGCATTTATTCGTCAGGTATATTGCGTCTGATAGAAATGGTGCTCGTGTGTCCGGGGTGTTCACTCCACGTCGTAGTCATCAACGGCCTCTGTACCTGTTTCCTCAGTGTCCTGTTCCTCTTTACCCATTTCATCCAGGTTTTCGTTCACTGTTGATAGCCAAAAAGAAATGTGGACACGAAAGCGCTGTGTTTCCTAAATATATAGTCATCAACCCTTTCTACCCGTAGCAGTACTGCTGTAAGTAAAAAAATTATTTTGGAACATATTCTTCGAAGCGAAAATTGTTCGCTTCCTTCATACGATAGTATTTACTTGAAATAAGACAATGCACATTTTAAGTTCAGATTCTAAAAGGCTAGCGTAGCTGTAGCTCTATTACGCCTGGTACGTGCATGGAACGCTTTACATTAGTTGGTTTTGGTTCTATGAGTATAACTGCGTGACCCACCATAGCTTGGGGTATGCTCGAATGAACTATACAAGTATAAATACATGTGGTTTGGGAATTTAAAAATAACCTTGTCATCCTATTTGTGCTGTCGTCATATTGTTTCTACTGTGTTTTAAGGTATTGTAACAAGCACAATTTGTAGGTTTACGTGCCAAAACAAAAAAGGACATCCGACACGCATCAACGTCGGATGTCCAAAAAAGGTCATCCGACGCATTGTTTCTGAAGAAAATTTATAGGTCTGCTTTTCCGCGGAGCACACAACGCGTTTGAATGCAGGATGCCAGCAATCTACGGGACAGAGAAAACGTCTTCATGCGGGGTAACTATCTTTTACGATAAAATGTTTACGGAGAATCGTGCTCTCGATATAGTTATTCAGTGTTTTATTTATGCGCACAGCGATGGTTGGCTGAATCTTTGTTTTGCGAAAGGGTAGACCAAGGGTCTTGATCATAAATAGTGCGTTTATTAATCGAGTAAATGTGACAGCTAAAGACAAGAGTACTTTCGAACACTTGAGATCGTTCTGCCGTGCAACGAAAATCGCTCTAAGCCTCTGTCAGAATGCGGCCACCTTAACTTAAATGTAGATACTCGTAGTTCATTCAAAAAACACTATGCGGTTTGTTCGCTTTAGGTCACTCCTACGCCACATACAGTACAGTTAATTGAATCAACAACCAATGTAGTTTGTATACAGATAGGAGAACGTACCACGACTTCAAATTCTTCGTATATTAGGATAATAGTTATACAGCACTAAATGCGCACTTAGGTCACTAGCTATTGGAGGCTGAAAATAATGTCTTTCTGTCATTCTTTTCATTCTCAGTCATTCTTCTAGATAGCGCTTATTGAGATGAATACTACATCAATATACATATCGTAGGCTATTGTGTAACTGGCAATACAAGTGGTTTCTAACTTATCTTTGGGCTTTCAGTTACTATATTGTCTAAAGTAGCCCGCTATCAGCATACCAAACTCATTTGATTTTATCGATATCTCACCTGACCATTAGGCAACTAAACCTTTCGGTGAACTAGTGACAGGCCGTTCATAGTTCGGGTAAAAGAAAGACCCTCTTACTCATTTGCATTTCTTTATATAATTTCAAAGAATGATCGGAAGTTACGGTACCTGACATCAGCTATCACATATAAATCATAAAGAAAGAAAAAAAATTTTCTATGGTTTCTAACACATTATGAAAAATTGCCTGTTTTGAACAACTAGCTCCTCAGTTCCTAATTCTGTATTGGTAATACTCGACACATTGGTTACGTTATTTAAATACTCGAAAGCAATATATATAAATATAGTACGCCCTATAGGCTTGTGAAGGAAATATAATTCTTAATTTTGGAATGGGGGCCTTCGTTGAACAGCCGAACAGATACCATCTTCCCATGTCAAGTTGTAACTCAACTTCATCTACATGAGGTGGCGGGGATTATACCCCATGGTGCAGACATTTGATGAATGTGCACCTGGGTCTGAGTTTGAGCGTCAGTCGAAAATTCCTTCTTCACGTTACATGTATTCTTCCTCAAGAATCTTCAAGAATGATCAGATTGGTGTCTCGACCGGCGGCATGAGTCAGATTGTCCCTCTTAAAGTAGCAATTTTGAAAAACAGATTTGCAGGTGCCATCTAATTTTGTGACGAAACGACAGAAGCCGCTTTGATCCTACATATCACACCGTCATATCTATATAAAACCAACTGCGTGCCTTTGAGCTAACGTCACAAAACATTTTGTTTGCGAACAGATGTCTCAGCAACAGTTTTGCAAAGTTCTTTTGAAGCGCTCAATTTCTTACTTCGAATATAACAAATATATATATATTTGAACTATACGAAAATCAAACAAACTCAAATCCTGAAGAAAACATTTTTTTACAATTAAAACGCCATGTATGTCGAAGACATTTGTAGCTTGACGCCTTGTTTTCCAAAATCTGTGTCCCCTGTTCTGAGTGGCTATCTAATGTACCATTAGCTCACCTTAGAGGGTTTTGTACGCCTAAACATATTCATGTGCCCCGCCCTACAGGGTCCCTAAACTCGTCAAACACATAGTTTGAGCCGAAAGTTCGCGATGCGCGCCGATTTGACATCGACGACAAAAGCGCGAAGTAATGGCCGTGATAGGCTAATCGGTGCCCTCCGTCAGCTTCGGCCCCAAGTTTGCGTTTGACGAGTTTACGCAGAGACACGAAGACACGAAGGCGCGAAACCTTTCTTGTCCCGCTATTACTGCGTAACGCTTTCGTGGCTTTTTGCGTCACTAACAGCCGCTGATCCGAACCTACGTGACAGATGCAGTTAGTCTGGCAGCTCCATACTCCGTTTCACTTGAAGTCCGATCTCCGCCGACACTGCGATCTAATGGAGCCAATCAAATAGCGCCTAAAGTGCATTGCCAAGGCGCTCGTCGCCTTTCTTTTTTTCCTATGCTATCGCCAAGTAAACCGATCACACACAGTAAATGCGACGCGATCCTTCGCTTTTTTTAAGTGTGATTGCTTTAGCCGGCGATAGCATACCCACAAAGAAACTGAACGCCGTGACGATATGCTTTTGGCGCTGGTCAATTGACTCCATTAAATCACAGCGTCGCTTGCGGTGATACTTAAAGCGAAACAAATTACGCGCCTGCCACACAGTCTGTTGGCACCCATGAAGACCGCGTTGCGGGGCTCACCCAAATGGTCAGGTCGTAAGTGATGGTGTTGCCGCTCCACCAAGATAAAGCGAAGCGCGCCTCATCGTGAACCTAGCATTGTAAGAGCACCCACATTGAAGCATAAGAATACGAAATGTGGTTTGGGGCGTACGGTTCTTGCAATTACAAATTTTCATACTGAAAAAAAACCAGATAACCTGGCATGGCACGCAATGACACTTGGTGAGTTGACTATACAAAGATGCTTACTTAACGCTTCGCGGGCTTTGATATCGGAGTCGAGACACTCGCATTTTATCTTCACAATAGGATGAATACCGGTCCCAGCATACAGTTTTCGGACATCTTCTCGCACTGAAAAAAAAAAAAAAGAAACAACATTCCGTACAAATAATTTATTACTTTGCCAAACCGCGAACACCAACTCGAGGTATAAACGATGCTTTCAAATATATTCCCGATGCTTTCAAATGTATTTCGAGCCGTTATGGGCAATGCAGCCGCAGTAATAGATTTGCAGGAAAAAAAACGAGCGCAAATGCGCAGATCGTATAAATCCTTGTAAAGAATAAACTCAGAAACAAAAATCTTAGAGATTGTGAGTTATAACTCAACTGGGATACCATCCTAATCCAGTGCAATGATTTACTAACGCCTTTCTTTACGATTCTTTGTTTTGAGTTATAGTTTGTTATGCCATATGATAATCGTTCAGTGAAATTCCGCGAGTGGGTAAATATTGCAGGTATCATTTATTGCGCATACTTGTGTTGGGTTGTCACATGGACATATGCATTTTCGTTTGTTTTATACATGTGCCTTCAGGCAAGTAATCAAATTATGTTAATCGTGATAATTTCACAGCATATATTTTAATCGTGCCATATACTATAGTTGAAAACGAAATATTTGGGGCGAAGCTCCTTAGCCTCTAGCCTTGTCCGTCCGTCCGTCCGTCCGTCCGGCCGGCCGGCGTCCGTGCTGACATAAAAAGAAAAAAAAAATTCTTTGCGCAGTCGACAGGATTCGAACCTGTGCGGGCAGACCGCAATGGATTTCTAGTCCATCGCCTTAATCACTCGGCCACCACTGCGGGACGAGTAGGGGGCTCTGAGATGTGGTAGTAACTCAAGAGCTGGGGTTTCTGTCATGGATGAAACGTTGCATGTAGACGCTCAACGTCTATACAGGAGAGGGCGCGGTGGTCAAATGGGTATATAATCGCATTAAACTTTGCATGCATTAGCTTTGCATGCATTAGCTTTGCATGCATGCATGCAACACGGACAAGTAACGGAACAAATGTTCTCTTCTTTTTATATATATGTCAGTTATTACATTAAAATATCCAGAAATATGTTAGGGTGTGCGCCCTTGCGTGTTCAATTGTATTCAATGAGCTCCTCATCATGTTATCTCAGTCAAATAAATATGTAAAAAAACATACTTTTTTGCAGGAGTTTTTCGTCGCAACGGCACCATTTTTTTGATGGGACTGCTGGAATAACCTTCTGTAGCACAGAGTTTTCTGAGTGAGAAGAAAGCCACGGGTCAGTGATGAACGTTTTGCCGAAATAGCGGTCCCTCGTGAGGCGTCCCACATGCTGCGTCGTGGGTTTCTTGGATTCACGCTTGTGCCCTGCGTCGAAAGGGTTAAAAATGTAATTCTACTCTTTTTGTCAGTCTGTTCATGAACAGAAAAAAAAAATAAAATGTTTGAGAAATTACGGTCAAACACTGTACCTTTTTTTGTTTCGTTTTAAAGAAAGTTATAAACATTTCCTGAGCAGCGTTAAATATTGTTTGAAGTATTTTCCGTACTAAACTTCGCGTACGATACATCGTAATGTTCAAATATTGATACCCTACGTTCTGTTAATTATTTTAAGGGGCGAACTTTAGAACGCTTCATTGTTATCACCGCGGCTGTCGAAATCACGCCGCTTGACCTCAGCAAAAAAAAAAAGTGGGGCTGTTAGTTTGTTGTTTTGGTACTCTATTTCTTCGCAGGTGAAGCGCATGCAGGGAAAATGCACCCAAGTGAACAAAGCGGATCAAGCTTGCATATCTGATGGTGCAAACATCGACTGCTCGATATGGTTAACCGTTTACTAATTAATGACCGTGGGTTCTGTTAGAGACCATGGTCGCATTTCGTTTGAAGCAAAGAAGGACGTCTCAGCTTGTTTTTTTTGTTCTTCAACAAAGGTACCAACAAAGAAGGCGATGCAAACTACGAAGAGCAGAAGAACTTACATTCGTATGTTTTTGTTTGTAAACATGAAATTCTATCTTTCATGGTGCTAGCAGGAGTAATACACTGATAAAGCAGACACCTAATGTCACCGACAACTAAAGAAACGCTCTGGGCGTGACCAATCCCGATTATTTTTATCACTCCGTAGCTAATCGGGTTGCGGCATTAGCGTACGAGAACGCCAGAAAACTAATCAGAAAGCAAGAAGGCTCAGCGTAATAAGCCACGCCCCGAGTTTCTTGAGCTGGCAGTGAAAATAATGCGGCCTATGCAGGTTGCACGAGACACTGACCATTTACACTCGTTGTCACACCGAGAAAAACAAAAGGACGTTTTGCGTATTATTCATGCACTCCGCAAAGTACGTCTCGCGAGATTTGACTGTCAACGAAATAAGCGATGATTTTGGCTTTTGAAACGTGCACGTCTTAAAACATTTAAATGAAACTAATCTAAGATGCGCCTACATATATCTGAATTCGAAACGGGAAGGGTGAAATTAGTGAATTTCTGCGAAGAGCCGGATCTCCTTTTTTTTTTTAGTAACGTTCTTAAGGGGAACACGAGTGTAAGCAAGAACACCTCTTCTCGCACAACACTGAGCCCCGTGGACAATACACCGGGTGCTTAGGTTATAATTTGCTAAATTCCCAAGTTTGTGGAAAGTCATATTCTGGTTCACGTTCCTCATAATAAATTTCCGACTCACAATTGTTATTTTTTCTTGAGTGTAAACTGCATAAACCATACAAGGATCTGCTGCATGTAGTTTTCTCGGGGCAGTGGCTGCACGTTTCCCCCGATTCGTAGATACGCATATCATTCACGTTTCCTCTGAAAGACAAAAAAGGCAAAGTAAAAAGTAAATATTTAAACTAAAAAAGGACGGACATTACACCACGAGAGAAAGACACGCAGGGACATATTTCTACGAAGGACATTATGAACTACAGCACATTTGTTGTCTTTCTGCCACAACTGCGGTCCCCGTAAGCTTCATTATCTCACCATTTGTAAAAAACTCGAACAAAGAGTCCTAAAGTTCGCGTTCCAGCCCTCATCTGGATATTATTTTTCTTACTAACTTGCAGGTACGGCAACGACACATTAAGACCATCATATTGTGTACAACAGTACATTTAAGGTCCTGTTTATCTTCTCTACTGAAGTGCATTTTGTCTTGTTATTTGCAGGTTTGAAATACGTAGCTCAAATTTCGTGTTCTGTTCTTAAGAACGCGCGGGGTTCGGAAGAGCTATAAATACGAGTGATGGTCAATAAGTGTTCCCTCCTATGCTGATTTTTTTTTCAGTGATGGTATTGAAAGATGTTACATTGACATAAAACTTTGGATTCTTCTTTCTCAGGAGTATATAACTTTTCAATACAATCTACACCGACGGCGATGCACTACCGGTGCACTACTCTCCGCATGCCGTCGTAGATGACTGAGGGCGGCTGTTGACGAGACCAACGCCGCGCTGGTGGAGCTGCAGTTTCAAGATGTTCTGCCTCATTCACCTTTCAACCCAGAAGGTCCAGACCTTGCGCCATCGGACTTTTGGCTGCTTTCCAAGATAAAGTAACACCTGAAGGGTTTATGGTTTGCGTCTGACAACGCGGGGCCGGTGCAGTGCGCTGTTGGTGTCGTCAACAGCCACTCTGAATCATCTACCACGGCACGCGCGGAGTGTAGTGCACTGGTAGCGGAAGTGGATTGCCGCCGGTGGGGACTATGCTCAAAATCTATAAGCTCCTGCCTGGGAAAGGGAAGAGCTCGATCTTTCATTTTAAAGCAAGTAAAAAAAAATTTCAATTTCATCACTGAAAAAAAAAAGGTACAGCTTAGTAGGCAAAACTTATTGATCACCCTCGTGTCACTCACACCAAGAAGCGCCTGCCTAAACCTATGTATCTCCTATCACGCATGGTGCCAACAACGTTCTAAATGCGATGTGCTCGGAAAGACTCATTACTATTCAGAAAGCATCTTCCCCTTTCTGTAAGCAGTAGAAACATGTAAAACGGCAGCCAGCCCCTTTTAAAAGTTGTCTAACATCGGATCACCTGCAAATAGGGTGTTTTGGAATAGCGCATGCTAAAGCTTTGCGTACACAAAAAATAGCGTCGTCGCTACTGCGCATGCGCCAAACACTGACCACGGTTTGCACTTGGCGTGCACTAATTTAGCGCACGAAATTTTTCGGAAATTGCGTGCGTACGCATAGAGTCTTTGCGCTCCTCCCAGGAAGATTCGTGATGAGAAGTTGGCTAAAGCCAAGACGAGCACAGTTAAAAAATGGCGGCTCCCAGGTCCATGTCTGCGGCCGCTTTGGCGAAGTCGTGAGCGTGAAGTTCACGGCATTCTCGCGACTGCGATTTTCAATACGGAACAACATTGCACTCGGTTTGGCAACGATCACCGGCAGCTTGATGCTTGCGACGCGCAAACAATTCTCGGCGAAGACAGCGTAGGTCAGTACACGAGACCTCTCTTGCCGAGGCGACGCAAGCAGACACGACCGGTCGACTGCTCGCGTCGCATTCTCATATTTAAACAAATCTAAAATGCTACTCTAAACCAAGAAAAAAAAAACTTTTTTTTTTTGCAAGGTACAGTATTTATTGTGTGAAATAGAAATTGTGACTGTCTTGGTGGCGTTCCGAGCGCGAGCAGCTTGGGCTTTTGCGTTACGGCGGAGAAACGCTATTCTAAGACTCTCTCGCGTAGCGTGCGCTAACGCAAGCGCGCTAGCGTGCGCTAAAATTGCGTACGTTACTAAAAAAATTTCTATTTTGTTGTAACCCGTAGAGAAGTATATACTTTTTTTGTGTGCATGTTGTCAATAGGATGCATTAGTATGCAGAGTTAATAACATCTTTATACGAAACCTCAACATCAAGTATGAATCGATTAAACTTCTTATTATCATTATAAAAAGCACATACACGACTGATGAAAATAATGATCAAGCTAATCCTATCAAGAGGTTTACTTTTGTTCAATTAACCTGCAAATAACTTAGTCTAAATTCGTTGCATTCATTAATAATCGGTAGGTTAATCGACCACTTCTACATGCCTATTTTTTAATTAATGACACAGTTTTTGAAAAAGCACTCTTACTTAAATATGCTAAATGCTAAATCACTCCTGGTACATTCTTCGTGGTCTGTTTAAATTTTTATATGCTCAGAAACTTCCGGTTTAAACTCAAACACGACATTTAGTTTCACCTTAATTGTCCGTCGCCATCCTCTAAACCACTAGTCAAGCGTCAATACATAAGCATTTTTGTATTGTTTGATTTGGACAAACTTTGTTCACTGTGATAAATACCTCTTTTTAACTGTGCTTCTTAAGCCATATACTGAGATGTGTCCGAAATGTGACTTAATTTCTATTGTTCTTTTTTTACGATATAATTATCAACTGGTCAGTCACACAGCACAATAGGGACTGATCAACCTACACTGGTCCATAATTGCAGGTATAAATGATCCGATATGTCGGATCGCCTCTAATCTTGAACTTCGCTCGTCCGCAGCCCACGTATTTAGAAGTTGCCCAAATCATCTGAAAGAAATTAGATGTATTACGAACACTTGTGGATGTGTTCTTAGGCGCTCGGTTGCACTCATGCCTCAAATAGTACAAGCAGCAAGCATTTATACGCCCAACAATATATGTATCCGTTAACTGACACTAATTATACACTGGGCCTAGATGACAAAAATATTTTATAATGTTTCACCTAGTGGAATATGCCTTTCATAAAGTTTATTATCAATCAGTATACAGTACTACTTAGAGTTAAGTATGCTTTTAGACATAACTTATTAAAACTTCCTCCGCGAGAGCACCTGGGGTTTGCCTTTCATGAAACTCAAATTAAAGAGTTATTAGATTTGCATATGTTTTGAGCAAGACGACGGAAATCATTACTAATTATTAGTAATCATGACTTTGATTTCCCGGCACTTCACAGTAGTCTGTTTGAGCACTCTGCGTCTCACTTTAATATTGCTTTCACATTGACGAAGCATGACATCGCCGCCACTTGCTCTTATTCTTTCTTCACGCAGAAAATATTAATTTACTAATAATAGTTCGGATGAATAGACCCTCTCCAGAAGTACAACCCATCTAGTAGCAGCATCGCACTACCCGAGTCTGCCCTTGTTGAATCATGTACTCGGAACATGCATTGAACACGAGGGCTGGATCCACGTTTGGCAAGAGCTCCGATCCAATAAAACACCTCGTGCTCGAGAAGTAGAGACAGCCTGTGTTGCTTGGCGGCGCCTTGAAAAGAGTCTTTAAACTGCTGCGGAAGCAAACAACCTGTGGACTACGCACTTGAGTCAGATGTCCGGCTTCGCCTCCACCGTTGAACTTGTCAATTTCACTAAAGTCAAAGAGTATCCCCTCGTCCAGCCAGCTTTGGATGGCGGACTTCCAATTCGTGGATATAGCGTTGGGAGAACTTGAAGATGACAAGAACAGGTTCTGGCCAGTTGTGAACCTAGCTGCGATAAATTCCAGATTAGTTTCTCAAGCGCCAAGCTCTTTGTATGCAAGTAAATTTATTTTACAGTTGTAGCTTAGTGCCCCTTCCTGACAAAAAAAAAATGTTCATGCTGACGCGATAGACAACTCTACAGCAAAGACACTCCTCTTCCTCTTGTCCTTGTTCGCCGCACACACACGCGAACTGCGGCAAGCCTCTCTCTCGCTCTGCACCCTTCCCCCCCCCCCCCCCATTTTCGCCTGTATAGCGCCGCGGTTGCAAAACAAAAAACGCGTGATGACGGGGAGAGCGCTCTCCGCCTTCCAACGTTCCTGCTATATCCCCGTACCCTCCGCCGACGCTCCCCTTTCCACTCACCACCACCCCTGCTACAGCCGCCATTGCGAAATACCCACGTGCTTGCGGTGGGGCGACACGCTCCCTCGCCTCCCCACTGCAGCCTCCCAGGTTCCGTTCTCAGAATCCATTGCACAGATTGTAGAGCACACCAGCTGAGAGCAAATCTTCTTCGACATGCCTTTCCACAGCGCAGCATACAAGACCACAGAAAGTGTGCCGCCATCAATTGCGGCACACTTTTTGTGGTCATTTACATTTTTGTATTATTTTGACTTAGGGACCACTGTAACGTCGAAATTGAGGGCATTATTTACATTATATTACCCACGTGCCGGAACATTTTGGTAACAAATAAAGGAGATGGACCCAGTGGGGCACGTCCCCCAAAGTTACAAATTATAGTAAGATCACGAAACGAAACGTCCCTTAAATGTGTTATCTATTGTACATCTAAAGTATACATAGCAGCGCCAGTGGTTTTGATCTAACATATTTCAAACCTAAGGCTCTCTTACGTATCTGTACTTGGACGTAGAAGGCTACAACTATACTTATCTCTAATTTCTGCATTGAGGCGCGCACCCATCCTGCTTTCATAATTGGCGTCGGTAAGAAATTAATACTCCATGACGCGCTGGGCCAGCAAGGTTCATTAACTCTAAGCTTTCCTTTATATATGTGTTCAGCGTCGTTCGGGATTAGCACCTCTTTTGTATTATATATTTCGTTAGTGAGCTACCCGAAGTAAGCGCATATACGCAATACCCAGCTTTTACCCTTCCAGGCATGCCATTCATTATTTCAAAATGTAAAATAGTTATTGAAAAAACGGCAAGTGAAGGCAATGTCAAAACTAGCATTCAAACCTTTCCTCACTCTCTGGTGGCGTGAAATCACAAGTTATGTAACTTATCGGTCAAGTAGGTAATGAAACACTATCCGAAACGTTTTTTCGTGTCTTCCTTCTTTTTGTTTTTTGTTGTCGTAAGTTTTAATAACATTTATTCCACACCTTCAAACTTCTTATAATCCGTGGAGAACAAACTGTACATCCCACATGTGGCCCAAGTTACACCTGTTCAGTGTTCTCGAACAACTTTGAAACTTCGATAACGTTACGGAAAAAATATTTTTACTTGTAATTCATGTCACTAGCTCAGACGTGTGTATTAATTTGGTGAACTAATTAAGAAACGAATCATTGACAATCAAAATTCCACCAGAGGCTTTATTCGTAAGGTTAATTGTACAGTTCAACATAGACATTTGCTCAAAACTCCTCTTCAATCGCATATTTTGCACTGTTGCTTATGTACCTGCTAAGTATTCAAGTAAAATCAAAATCCCAATGAATCTTTTCCGAGAAGCATTCTGCGCACACGAGAGCGCCCGATGCCAAGCGGCGGAAGTCGACACGCAAAATTGAGGAAATTCAAGGGGGCTGTGGATCAGCGAGTAGAAAACGTAATTCCAGCATACATATAATTGTATTACACTAAAAAAGAAAGTAGACGTAAAGAAAAACACGACGTTTAGATAGGCGCCACGGATGTCCCTCTTTGAAGTCGCGTTGGGCACGCGCCGCGGCTCAGAGAGCGAAGAAACTGGCAGCGTAGCTCCCATGCATTATCGATTGGTAGCGCAGGAGGTCACTCCCACGATTTTTAGTTCGTGCAGTCTCCACCTGGTGCCGTAGGTACGTGGAAAAGGTCCATTGTGTGAACCGAAAAGTAAGCAGAGAAAACACTTTGCCTTCGTTTTTAGAATGGACTAAACATCTTTGAAAAAATTGCATTCCACGCGCTGTCATCTTTGTCTGCTGGTCTGTGTTCCACAGCCCAGCGTTCTGATCACGCGCTGTAGCTCTGCTGTGCGGTATATGAGACGCTGCGCATGCGTCCACAGCTCAGTTGCTCAGCATTTTTCACACAGGTGATAAGCGATGGAAACGTCGATACCTCGTCTCAGCTTGGTTCACAGTACAGTCGATACAACGAACCTTTAGCACCAATCAGACAGCGCCAAAAGCGCAATGTCACGATTAATCTTTCTGTGCGACTGCTACCATTGGGTAACCCTCTCAAGCACAATGGACACGTCGTCACCTCGCGCTTTTAGTTTGTGTGTTGGTGTTTGTATGTACGCGGCCATTTGAACGCACTATGAATTATCTTGAAATAGGGTAAAGGTTCATGAAGGATGAAAGGTTACGTGATGCTCCCTCCACATTTACGTGAAAGACACTAATTCTGTCTCTTGCACACGGGAGTGCCATTCAGGACGAAGCTGAACAACCGCTCTTTGACGTAGCTGTTTGGGGTACTTATTTCCTTTAGTGCTACGACACGAAGACATCCCTCGGTTTCCGCCAGAATAGCACTCCAACGCGAAAGAACACAATGTTCATGTTCCCAGTTTGGTCAGCACTCTACAGTCAGCGATACAAAGTATTGCTTAAATAGTGGAGACTATCGCTGAAAACGAACTCTTATACAGGCTCCTCTGTACAGCTGGAAACACAGTGACTAGGGTTATGCAAATAGTGGTTTCGAATCTAAAATCATTGCGTCATTCATATCTTTGACAATGCAACGGAAGGCCGAGATGGCAGTTCTTTCAACAATGCGGAAGCAAGGGACGGCGTTGCGCTATTCGGTTCGAACCACTATTCACACACCCCTAACACAGTGCAGTGAAAGCAAAGATACCGGTTCAAATTTCAGGATTGTGTGAGTTATTCTAGAGTCTAGACAAACAAACATTACATGAATGCTAGATCAAAATACCTTACATGTCAAAAAATTCCTTCTCAAAGTCTCGAAATGGCAACCCACATTTCGATAAGAGACCGGTTCATAAAAAAATACTTTACAATTATTTAGCTTATGAATGCGCGAAAGTATCCCTCCGAAAGCCATTAGGACCTACAACTGACTTGGTTCTTACATTTGTGGTGAAATGTGTTCGGGAAGGTTTTCAATGTTATCCGTTCAGGCTGCACCAAACTTCTTGAACAAAATCAAAAATAGTGTCCACTTACGAACTCTTCGACAGGCGTAGCAATCGTGTCTAAACTGGCACTGATTGGCGTGCGCCTGCGCAACTGCAGCAAGTTCATCATCCCATTTCTGAAACAAGAGAAAAGAGTTCTTATCATAACACCGTCTTTTTTTTTCGTTAATGTTTATGCAAGCGGCATTGATGCGTCAGGCATATATTGTTTGAACAAAATAACGTTTTCCAATTAGGATCTAAACCGATTTTTAATATATATTTCTGGAGGCAGAGCTATACTATTTTTCACCCTACGACACATTAATAGCGTCGTAGCGATGTACATGACACCAGGTCACAGGAGCGTTTGTGTCGCTGTGCGGAATACGAGGCCCGCGGAGAAACCGGCTGTCGTCTGCTCGCCAAGGGTCGTCTGCTACGACACCAACCGACATAGGCGGATGGACGACCACCATCGCAACATTGCTGTCCACTAATGTAGCGAGTTCTTCGGGAGCAGTTTATAAGACAACCATACGCTCAACTTATCCGCATATCTATGGCAGGTGCAAATGCCAGAACGACATCTTGAGCGGAAGCGGTTGATTCCAGAACTGCGATCATTTAAACATCGTTCAAAAGCCACGCTGTTCCCGTAAAAGAGTTGATCCGAATTAGGTATCGTTGAAAAGCAGCATGTCTTCGTCTTTCTTCCGTGTCATGGATATGGGAGATAGAGCGCGAGTTCAATTGCTGTTAAAAGAAAAAGAAGCCTATACTTCGTCTCACCTAGAGCCACTAAATAAGCTGCGCTCAGAGTATCGGCACTCCGTACCCCGACATTGTTGTGGGCGCCACCATTTTGGCTCGTATGCAGAACAGACGCAACTGCCGATCGTCATGATTCAAATGTGCGACTTCTTCAGCATTAGATTCGGTGTTAAGAAGGTCATGTAATATTGCTTTGCTCTGTCGCGAACGGTTTAAACATTTGTGGAGGGCGAAAAAGCATTTCCTGGGATTTCAGATAAAGCTTCAGATAACTGGCAACCATGATTTTAAGACACAATATGGCCAAGTGTCGTTACTCTGAAGCGTAGCTTATTTAGTGGCACTAGTCTCACCCTACGATGGACTAAAGGCAGAAGCTGCGAACCGCCAGATCCAATCACGAGCCACTTAGACATTGTGTGGTATTTCGCTTCGAAGCACGTATCGGTGCCCGCGTCTCGGATCACTGGTGGGAATGGGCCGACAGTGGTTTGGATCGCGCAATGAGTGACTCAACAATTTTACATTCCAAAGAAAGCCATGGCGTACTGCCTCTTTGCAGTGTCGAAGCAATAAAAATGACGCAGCGTTTTTGGATTCGGAGCATTATTCGTCTAAACCTAATCAATGCTAAGCGTGTCATAGTTTAGCGTGGAAGGTGATTGGACCTGGCGGCCAGTGGCTTTGGCCTTTGGTCCATCGTAGGATGAGACGAAGTATGGAACTACATTTGTCGCGGACGACGCTGCTGCTGTCGCGGTAAAGAGGCCTTCGTGACCTCTACTATGGAGTGTTGTCACGTGCCTTGTTCCGACGCACTTCTTCGGTCGCGAAGGCCGTAGCCTCCACTGTTCGCCAAGTTATTGTAAAAGGGGGTATAGACGTTATCTTGGTGTACACCGCATCTCCTCGCATTGGCACAATCCCAAACAACCTCCGACCAGCCACAACTCCAGTTCTTAACTTAATGTTGCCCATTAATCTTGACTTTATTCAAACACAAAGTAGCACTGCACTTTGAAACGCTAGCATCCCTGGCATCCGTAAAGACGGCATCATGACCTTGTTAAACACCAAACAAACAGGCATACGAAGACTAATCGAGCAAACTGCTCTAGGCGTGCTTACGAGCTTAAATTCTTTTCTTTTGAGAGCGCGTGGTTTCCACTCTTGATCTTCTAAGCAAAGCGGGAACATAGATTAGAAGATCTATGCTTTAAAGGCCCGTTCACAAACTTGTGATGTCTTAGGACCGTGTGCCTCAAAATCTTCTGAACATCTTTCGCGCCGAAGGTAGAGTTCCTGTATAGGCCCCCTACTGAAGCCAGAGTTGCGCGTTCATCTCCGTAGCGCCGTCTTTCCTGCACGGCATGTTGATCCTACTCCTCACGTGACTGAAATGGCGAATAGCTGCGGCACGCCTGCGAGGCGCGCGGCGCGCTCAAAAGCAGGGGAACGTATGCCGGTGCGCGTGCAACCTGTACTTTCCTGCACGGTATTTGATCCAGCTCCTCACGTAATAGGATCTCGGCGAAAAGCGGTGCGGCGGCACGTGGAAAACAGACGCGCAACTCTAGCTCCCGTAGGGAGCCTATACAGAAGCTCTAGCTGAGGGAACACATTTGCGTACGATGTAGGAAACCCGAGACTGTGGTAAAAGCAGGGAAACTTGGTCTAAGAAGAAAGACAGGGGAAGAGAACGTCTCAGAGATGTTCTTTTCCCCCGTTTTTCTTCTTCGACCAAGTTTCCCTGCTTTTACCACATGCTCGGGTATTCTACATCATGATCAACATCCACCAGCTCGCCTGCGCACTCACTGTTTTTTCTTACATTTGCGTAATCTGCCGAGTAGCCGTGAAATATACGGGTTTCATATATTTCCTATTTTTCTGGCATCATTCCTTATTTCTTGGCTTGAAATTCTTTTGATGACATAAATACTTTACCATACATAGCAGGTATATTTGATCTCGCAAATACTTCAAAACTTTCGCACTAGTTAAGTACAATGGAAGGGTCGCACCATAGATGGCGCCAGCGAGCCAGTGTGTTCTTTCGTTCTAAAGAACCACAAGAGCTCGGTCCTAAGCAAATGCAAGTGTGTGAGCAGGCCGTAGCTGGCCAATTTTTTATGCTGGCATATAATGTAGCCAAAATAAAAGGCTTAATATTTCTTGTCGCCACCGATGCTTGCCCGACCGTACAGGAAACCTTTCCTAAAACACCCAACAAAACTCATCAGAAAGCACCATTGTGTGCACTTTCCTTCGGTGCGTATTGAGAATTGTGATGATTACTACATCTAAACTTCAAAGCTGCAACATATTTGAGCACACGTAATCGGGAGTGAATCTTTTTCTCTGCAATCGCTTAACTAAAAATGGAGCTAGATTCGGCAGCATTTCTAGCTACTCAAATATTGGAATGAAGAAGCAATTTTGAGGGAGCAAATTAAGTTGTTCAGGTTCCGGCCTATGTAAAACAACAAAAATATTTCCTTTCAATTTATATGCCCTTTGAGAACACAGACATGTTCAAGACGACTTTTCACTATAGTTTGCTTCTTTTGGATCCAATTTAAAATGTCCAAAATATATTGTAAGAAAAACGAGCAATGTCTAGTGTTGTCAAACAACAACAAGTCTAGACAAAATCATAACTTCAGCACCGTAAACTTTTTCATGTTTTACTGTGTCATCATCAGGATTGCCGGTCTAAAATTTGTCCTATTTTTATTCATAAACATCTTAGCATTTTGCAATTCGTACAATTTAGTAGCTTTCGCACTTCATGAGTTGTGGCAGAAAATTCCTCGGCCGCAATGTACTCGGTGTATCAAGGGGAGGTCAGGCTCTTTAAATCGACCGCAGAATTCGGTTTCTTAACCTATCGCGCTACGATTTTGTGCAGCGTTGCCGAAAAATAATGTTGTTGTTTTTTTGTTGTTTTTTTGTTTTTTGTTTTTTTTTAATTTTGCAAGGCGCGAACTTACCTGAGGAAAAAGTAAAGAAAGAAAAAGGCTTAGCTCCTATGGAAACGCAGCGACGCCACCGGTCTTCAAACAACACAGCGCCGTTTCGCACGGGAGACAAGAGATGGCGCAACGAACGCCGCCAACGAACGAGCATACGGCGCTGAGAGCCGGCGTCTATAGCAGACGATCTTTTTGACTCAAAAGCGGCGCGCGTTCCGCAGGCGGCGACAGTCTCAGAAACAAAAACAGGCGCGGTAACAACGAGGAACTGCAGTTGCTTGTCCGCTAAAGACGCCGGCTCTCGGCGTCGTATGCTCGTTCGTTGGCGGCAGTTGGCGTCGTGACCGCTTGCACCATTTCTTGTCTCCCGTGCGAAACGGCGCCATGTTGTTTGAAGACCGGTGGCGTAGGAACTAAGCCTTTTTCTTTCTTTACTTTTTCCTCAGGTAAGTTCGCTCTTTGCAAATTGTACAAAAAAAAATTCACCATCTGTGGGCAACGCTGCATAAACTCGTGCCGCGATAAGTTAAGAAACCGAATTTTGCGGTCGATTTAAAGAGCCTGGCCTCCCCTTGATACCCCCCCCCCCCCCCCCCCCCCCAGTACTCTAAATTGTCTCATATACCACAAGCAGGCCGGAGCCTATGTATTGCGGCATCATTTACTAAACTTGTCTTAGTGCGCCTTGCTACACTGAGGCAAACCTTTATCCCTGCAGTCGTAAATCTTATGGGCAAGACTAAATCCAAATTTTTTTCTGCTTCTCCTGTCTGTTGGGTGCATTGCGGGTGCATGGGTCTACTGATAAGTTACTCGAAATCAGATAATAATTATGTATTATATACATATGTAAAACATTGCTTTTGAAAAAGCTAAAGCTGAAATCAAACATCGCGAAATGAATTAATAGTAGGCACTGCTCCGAATAAAAACAATTATCTGTAAAGACTTCAGAAAGCCACTAATCGGCGAGATTTCAAAAACACTTCATTAAATTTTCTAGTCATTTGCCTGACACTGATGGACAAGAACTCCACTGTAACTTAATACTGCATCCCAAAACAAATATATTTCTTGGAGAACATAATAGCGCTTCACGACTGGGACGAAGAGTAGGAACGAGACAACACAATGCGCTTTGTGCTGTCTCGTTCCTACTCTTCGTCCCTGTCGTGAAGCGCTATTATGTTCTCCAAGTTTCAGTACCAACTCGCCCAAGAATCCGCATTACTCAAATATATTTCGCCTGATAGACTCACCAATTGCATCATATTGGCCGCGTGAGGAAATCCAGCAATTTTTCCCAGGGCCACGGCTTGCCGGTGCTTGTTGTGCATATTTAAAATTTCCCGTGCCTCCTCTTTGGTGACACCAGAATTTATCACTTGGCACAACTAGAACATCAATATTTATGTTATGAGCAAAGATTTGCGTAACAAAATACAGCGAAGCTGAAGCTTATAGACATACTGCATCACGGGGGGTTTGAGCCTGATCTTAAAATTGTTATGCATATAAGTAGCACAGATAAGCGCGGTAAAAGGATTATTTCATATTTACAGTAGATTCAATTGACGTTTCTGTGAGGCTGCACAGAACCATATTTAATAGTCATAAGAACATATGTAATTACAAATTACAAAAAAAAATTATTCTCCCTTCACTTAAGATGACAATAACGACAAAGAGGATATTGTTTGACGATTTACAAAGATTCGGGGTTTAGTTTCACAAGTTAGAAGCGATGCTTTATTTATCTGTATTTTCTAACAAACAAAATATTGTCGGAGTACTGCAGTTTCCTAATCATAGCACTGCTTTTTTTTCCCTTTTTATATTACACTAATTTTTTGTGCTGATAAGTAGCTAAACAAAAACTATACAGTATTACTATTATCGGCAATTTGTCAACGTAACCATGAAGAACTTGTCACCATCCACACTGTGCGATAAAAACTAACTGGCAGACAAACGCAAGAAGCAGGTATCAACAAAAACTTACCGGCGGCTGTGGACGACACAATGTGTGTTTCTCGCTGATTTCTTTGTACGTTGAACTGCAGTCAAATTGATGTGCCCCGGTATTTTCAATGAAGAATGAGAGTATAAGCAGTAGGGCCATAAAACCATGAACTCGAAAACGTCTCTTTCCAACAGAGCTCATCCGCAGCGTCATAACAGCAGACTGCAATAGAAACAACGCCCGCAATTAAAACTATCCCTTATCGCTGCAGAGAAGCCCTAATTTTCCCAGCACTTTGTGTTTACCAAGCTGTTAAGTAATGTTTGACGGGTGGGCGAGATTCTGATCAGAAAATCCACTTATTGTGTGGGTTTTCAGACGCATAAAACCAGTTTAAAAAGCCAAATGCACGTCCAGCCACGGAAGAAAAATGAAGGAGAAAAACATGAGGTGGACGATCTATGGGGAGTGGTCGCTCATTCGGAGCTTTACGGCAGCGCAAAAATACTCCAAAACCCTGCAATACGTCATAGCTAAAAGAACACACCGACTTCACAAAATATTAAAAACGGATACATTAAACGTTTCGTTTTCTTTTTTTCTTTTTTGCGGTGCAGACAATTTTATTGCAAATGCAAGGTTAATGCTATGTTATTTCTCAATTTAGGGATATTTATCAGAAATATCCGTATAAGCTTTGGGAAAAAGGCCATGGTTTATGTTTCAAGCTGACGCATTTCTCCGAACGAATTATGATTCCAAACGCTTCCGTGGACCAGTGGTTCACTGTTTAAGTGTAGTCGATCAGCTCAGTTTTGAACCGGGTCACAGGCATCAAATAAGTGACGTCACGCTTGTGCTTTTTCGGTCGAATGTTTCGCCAACGCAGAAAGTAGTGCTGAATTGGCACAAGATCTTGTATACTGCGCATTTTCTTAACGTTCACAGGGGTCAGGTTCTTTGAATTTGAGATCGTGTTCACTATTGTACGGTACGGCTAAACAGCAGTTTGAATATCAGGCGGTTTTAGGACGCAACTAGGTGACTCAAAACGTGTTAAGAATACACAATATACTCGCATCTCTATCATTTTAACCACTTGCATATTTTGTTTTATTTGGTTAATTATTTACCGCGTGAAAGAAAAAATCGTTTAAGGTAGTGACGATTGTTTAAAAGTTCCTGTACATGTGCCAGCTCATTTGCGCCATAGAACTCCTCATAGATAATAGTATTTCACCTCTGCAAGAGCGATTGTACTATATTGTAGAGAATGATGAAATTGAGAAACTAAGAATTTCGCTTTTTCACACGGTTTACAGTACACATTTGTCTCAACCTCCTGGTTTGATTCACCTCTTTTGATTACGCATACAAGGGCAACATACCATATAGTTTTGCCCCGCAAAAAGCTGCATTCAGCGGTCAAGATCTTTTTAAATCATGGCGAAAATCATGAAATCATTCGTGTGTTTTTGTTTAATTTGTCGAACGTATTATCAACATATCAGATGTAACAATTTCACTGGGAACGCGAAGTTACTCAATACTTAACAAATAGTACAGTTGGTCGAGCTGGTTTGTTGCCTCGTGTGTTGCGTAGCAGAGCCAGTTAATAAAACACACACGCCATGTGGGCTGAACCTCACTGTCATTTGCTCCAAAAAATAATATCAGGAGTTTCTGTTACCTTTGTCACCATTTGTAACGAGTTTCTGTACTCAACAATGTATGGCTCCTATACTAGCCTCTTCGCCTCCAAGGATGCGATGAGAAATCTGACAAAATGTACGGGTGTCCGAAGATGACGTTTATAGAAAGCTCTAATAAGAGGACCATGCTTTACGTAAGCAAGTCTTTATTATGTTTGGCCCTTCAGGTTCATAAGTACATAAAAAACAATGTGTTCCAGGGATACTATTCTTCGCAATATCCACAACCTGGGACCTAGAGTCCGTTAAGAAATCCAGTTGTCGGAAATTCACTGAACATATGTCTCTTTTCTGCGTGGTCGAATCGTCAAGTGTTTACACGACATAAAAAATAATTATAACCACAAAAGAACCATATTTGCGAGGTTAGGTATTTGCATCCGCTACAAAACTGTAAACTCCGCAAACGTTTGCCGTTGCGTGATTCCTTTTAGGAAATAGGGCAGTTAAATAAAATCGTCTTTTATTAGGTCGTATGCTTCGGCTAACTCTGACTTTTTCATAGCTAACAACAAATTTAGGCGAAGGCTCCTATCGAGGACGGAAAAACGGGTGTTTCTATATTATATTGACGAATTTATTTTTGAACTGATTTATTACTCCACGCAGTATTTGAACTAACGTATATCTTTGTTAAAATATGAGTGTTTATACTTTTCATCTTACGTTAAATTACTGTTATATTCGTTTTCCTGACTGTTGTTGTTTCTGAACTCTTCGCTCGCATGTCTCTGCGCGAGAAGATTTAATATTTGTTTCAGAATGGCAGATCTACTAATGTTGGTTCGTTTTAGAGTAGGCTCAGCTAGTGTGATGAAAGGACTTTTTTTTTTTTTTTTAGAGTGCAGCTCTTAGGTGCTTTTTTCCGGCTTCAGCGGCGTCGCCGTCGGCGTAAGCGTGCTGTGCATTACGGGAAATGTCCCATAATGCACCGCGCGGGGAGGAAGAGTAGGAGGGGGAAGGAGGACGAGGGGAAGGGAAGGAGAGGGGGAGGAGGCCGAGGGGAAAGGGTGTTCAGTATTGTAGACGAAGAGGGAGGAATGTGCGCGGGACGAAGGACTGAAGACGTGGAAGGCCGGAAAAAGGGGCGCGAGGACGGAAGACATCAAGACGATCGAGGAGGCGGTTATACCGTTGTATGTATCTCCTAAGTTAACGCGATTTTCCATTTTTTACACCGTGGGCATCGTTCCTCTATCTATGTAAAACATTGGTGCCGAAACCCGGAACTCTGCTACCTTACTGACCCAACCGAGAGGAAAGATCGTCACCATTAACGACATGGAACGCGTGAAAAGCAAGCGAACCACCCAGCGGGCTCTGCATACTCGTCTACGCACCGAAGCAAGACAAGTCATCGACTCCAAACAGCTCAGTCTTTCTGCTCTGCGGGGCTGGCATGATAGACTGAAGACTTGTAATGAAGACCTGCAGAAGCTCAGCGATCATCTACAGGCCTTCCTCACGGACGAGCAGGCTGCAGAAGATTTCGCTTCAGCGAATATGAGGACAACGCAGCTGCGAGCTTGGCGCTGCTCCGCCATCACATTGAATCGCTCCAAGCTCCAGGCCCACCGGCCCAAGGAATCGATCAACAAAACGAAGACTTCCCACTTGCTCCGAGCGCACGACCGAATGATCACGGCGATCACGGAGGTCCAGCGCAGGTAGGTGCAAGACTTCCCCAACTAGAGCTTCCGCAGCTAAGCAACAAACAGACTGTTTTTTTTTTTTTTGCTTTTTTCTTTTTGCCAACGCACATTACCGAGAACTGTTCTTCTGAAATCAATCTGCAAGAGAATAAAAGTCGGCGAGCAAAGGCAGGGAGATGCTTTAAATGTACTGCTATTGGCATCGGGCGAGAGACTGCCGCCGTACCGTACACTGCTCAGAATGTAGGCGCAGGCACGCTACTGTTGTTTGCGATTCGATGTTCAAAGCAAAGAATATCTTACGCGAAAGAAAGGAACGCCATCAAGCACGTGGCATCCAAGGATGCATCCACGAGCTCAGTGGATAAGCAGGTGCTCTTACAGACATTTCGAGCCTGGTTGTTGAACGAAAGCAAGTCGTGCTACATCAGAGGGGTCTTCGACAACGGGAGTCAGAGAACTATCGTAACAGAAGACGTGTAGAGGAAATTGTGATTACGCACCGTAAAAGCGGTTGACTTGTCGATCAAAGCTTTTTGGAGGATCGAACGGAGCACTAAGAAGGAAATACAACTTAGTACAAGTAACCGTGATGAGCCAATTCAGCCACTTTCAACACGAAATCGAAGCAATTGAAGTTCCATTTATCTGCGAGGAGTTAATTGAAGCTCCCGCTGCACATTCTTTTTTTCATAGGCTGACAAAGGAAGGACGGTATATTGCTGACCTTCTGCTTTTTCCTCGACACAAAGGAGAAGCTTACTTGTGGGAGCGGACCAGATATTGAAATTCCTCCTGAACGAAGTTTGTTTGCATGGCGAAAACAAGTGCCTGACGACTGTAAACACGAAGCTCGGTTGGACCTTTCAAGGACCCGTGACATCTGGCGGCGGTGCTTTCACAGAAGCTGGAACACACATCTGTGTTCTCCAAACAAACGGCGTCGAATCTGAAGTTTCCGACACGCTCGAGCAATTCTGGGAGCTCGAAAGCATTGGAATACTTGACACTTCAACGAACTTCAGCCACAACAGCGAAGTTCTCCAACAATTCAGCAAGGAAATTGCTTTTAAATACGGAAGGTACAAAGTAGCTCTTCCTTGGAAGAACCTTAATGTGGATCTGTCAGACAACCATGCGGTTGCAGTCAAGCGGCGACACAGTTTGGTTTGACGGCTCATTACAGATACTGAGACGATCCAGCAGTATGACGCAGCTGTCCGGCAATACGAGGCGTATGGACATGCAGAAAAGATAGCTTGCAGCCAAAGCATACCTGACAAGTGTTACTACATGCCCCATAAGGATGTGGTAAGAGAATCATCCACAACAACAACACTGGGAGTCGACTTTGACGCGTCATCCCATGCACTTGCGGTAGCTTCCCTGAATCATCATTTACAGAAAGGGCCGAGTCTGACCAATGACATGGTAAAGACGTTCGTGAACTTCAGGCTGCACAAGATATTCAAAAGGCTTTTCTTCAGATATCTGTTAAAGAAAACGAAAGAGACGCTCTACGATTCCTGTGGTTTGAGCACACGCCAAAGACAGACCCTCCCCTGCCTAAAGTGGAAGAGTGTCGAATGACTCGCGTACCTTTCGGAACGACGGCAAGTCCATTTCTACTTACTGCCACATTACAACACCATTTCAAGCGTGTGAAAGTAGATTTTGAAAACACAACGAGGCTGCTCAGCGCGAACTTTTAAGTGGACGATCTTGTCACGGGAGTTTCGATTTCAAACGAGGCATTTCGTGTCTACAGAGAAGCTAAAGTTATCCTTGAGGAAGCTCGCATGACGCTTCAAAAATGGACCACAAGCGACGAGGCGCTTCAATGACGCATTGGAAAGGG